TAATATGTTTTAATAATCAAATAGTCAGTAGATTACCAGTTTTATTTATTTTTTATAAAATGATATGTTTTATTTTAGACTATTTGTACTATATTATAAATCTATTAGGTTGTTCGGAAAGTAAGTTTGTTTTTTTTACCTCTAGATGGATTAGTCGTATTTTTCCTGCCATTTTCATTCTAAACCGTATTATCATTATATATTTTGACAGCTAGCGTTTTAAGGCTTATTTGTAAAAAATTTTGTTCGATTTTGTGCAATTGTTTATTTTTTGTTCCCATCAAACATGGAAGGTTGAAAGTATCATTTTCAACATATTTTGCTTTTTTATTACCGAAAAATCAAAATACTGTTCAAGCAAGGAAAAAATTGTGGTACATGTATGGAGATGATGTGTTGAGAGAAAGACAGTGCCNCACCAGGGCATCTGTAAATCCATGGGGCTACATTACACGTATGTGTAGTAATAAGCTGGGGAAGACTCAAATTTTGACATCATCAAGTGACAACAGTGAACCTAAATCTCTTATTCAGACCCTGAACACCCAACTACAAATTTACTGCCCAGATGACAACCCTGAAGAAGACTCAGAATGGCAAAGGAAACTGTGTACAGACACCAATACACTAGACAACACTGTTCCATCATTTACTACAGGGGAGATTGATAGTATTGTCAGGAACCTGGGCAGGGGCAAATTTCCTGGCCCCGATGAGATTACAGCCAACCTCTAGACCCTATTACCACAACAACTTCTTAAAATTTACAATGCCTGCCTTAAACATGCAATCTTTCTGCAGGAGTGGAAGACTGCTTGTGTAATACTGGTCCCTAAACCGGGTTCTGACTCAGAAACCAGGCCAATATCGTTATTATCAGTTATGGGAAAGATTCTAGAGAAACTGATTGTGAACAGGCTCACTTGGTTCGTCAAGCAGAACAATTGGCTTAGCGAATCTCAATTTGGTTTCCGTCCACAAAAATCGGCGGAAGATGCCATTCATGGCGTAGTCAAGGAAATTCAGCATCTCCTGGAGGATCATAAATATGTTTTAGGGGTCAGTCTGGACATATCAGCTTTTAATAGTGCATGGTGGCCCCTCATAACCTATCAATTGTGCAACATCAAGTGTCCAAGGAACATTCTCAACCTTTTACAGGACTATCTTAAGGACCGCAGAGCTACATTACATTATGGTCAGCACCATGTTACCAAAACCATTACCAGAGAATGCCCACAGGGGTCTGTTTGTGGACCCTGCTGTTGGAATGTGACCTTTAATGCATTTTTAGAGAAAAATTTTGGACATTCAAAATGCTTTGCTTATGCTGACGACGTCATGCTGCTTATGGGAGGTAGGTCCAGAACTGACCTCAAGAACAGAGGAAATACTATGCTTCAACATATCTATAGCTGGGGAGAGGAGCACAAATTGAAATTTAACCCCAACAAAACTAGCGGAATAGTTTTCAACAGACCTAGACAAGCTAATCACCACACCTCAAGATGAACGGTAAAACCATAAAAGTAAAAGAGACCCTCAAATATCTCATAGTATACTTGGATTGTCAAACACATAGAACATATAATGAACCACATCGAGCTTATCCTGCAGTCATATGCCCAGGTGGCAAAAAGTAACTGGAGCTTGACTTCAAACACAATGTCAATCATTTACGATGGAATATACTTGCCTATTATGATTTATGCCTGCGGCACCTGGGGGCCACAAGGAAGGTACACACAAACCGCAAACTGATATCATCACAAAGACGTGCGCTTATCCTGACAGCGAAGGCATTCTGAACCGTTAGTAACAGATGTCTCCAGTTGATTGCACGGAAGCCACCCATAGACTTCAGAGGCAAAAGTACCAATTAATCAAGTGGGGTGAGAACATCCAGACTACAACAAGCACAATACATCATGATGAAATTGAATGGCCTATCCCATTTTGTGAATCTCTCCCTCCCAATGATAGTACAACTGACATAGACAACACTAGTGAATCATCTAACATCAATATTTTTACGAACAGGTCTCGTATTAACAACTCTGTAGGATGCAGCTTTATAATATATAACAACAATACAGAAATCTCTCAACAGACGTTCTGGCTGGATGATAGGTGTACTGTATTTCAAGCTGAACTATTTGCTATTGGGAAAGCAATCGACTATGTCAACCAGACCTATGAGAATGTAGCTGTCGACATATACACCGACTCTCTATCTGCATATAATCTAATCAGAAGCAACAAACTACATCCACTGGCCATAAAAGTTAAAAACTTGATTAAAAAATCAAAATGCAATATATACATTTCCTGGGTCAGAGCCCATCAGGGCCTGAAAGGCAACGAGAGAGCGGATACTCTGGCTAAGTACGCAACCACGAAAGATAGCAAGAATACTGAATATAACAAAATTAGTCAACAAACACTGCGGCAACTTTTATGGAAAGACACTTTACTACAGTGGCAAACCACATGGGGTCACGATATGCAGCACATAACCCACAGGTTTATTCCGGACTTGGACAAATTTATTAGTATAGACTGGTATACTCCTGATTATGCAACTACTCAAATATTCACCAAGCATGGCAAGTTTGCCAATTACCTTGTTAGGTTCGCAAATAGGACTTCTGGTCTTTGCCCTATGTGCAATGTGTCAAGATGGACCTGAGCACTATATAGAACGCGAAAGAAATGAATTAAGGATACTTATTGAAGAATAGGGTATAGAATGGCTATGCAGTCCATCGGACATCTGGCTAAACAGAGAGATATACAACAACTTCAAACAATTTGCTAAGCAAATTAACTATGTTAACCAAACCAAGATCTACAGCTAACGCTCTGTGTTGGGGCATTACTTCACCCCCTGGACTTTACAAGGTAACTACTACATGCGAAAAAACTGTCATGTGTCTTCTAAATATATATGTTGCTCTTTTTATCAACTATGTATATTTTGTAAATATCTTAAATGTTTTTATTTTCTGTACACTTCCTACAAGTGTTAATTTTATGTAATTTACCTAATCAAAATGTATTGTAATGTATACTGTCCACTTGTTCCCTGGTAATGCTTCATGCGGTACCAGGGCGTGTACAATTAATGTACCAATAAAATATATTGAGTGAGTGAGTGAGTGGGCATCTCCTTTATTAACACTCACTCTGTCTTGTCTATCTTCTGTTGCATTAATTAGTCTAGTTTCCCTGCTGGCCTTTTTGTTGTTTATCTTTACCACATCTGAATACAGCTGAGGGGTTATCTGAGGCACCACATTGGCTTCCTTTTGCCTCATTTCAAGAATGATGCCAAACAATTGATTCGCCACCGCATGCTTTCTTATTGCTGCATCACAGATTACAGTTCTTTCATTGCTTTTGACATTCTGACTAGTATTATTTGGAATTCTTGTCATAATTGTTTCTAAGCAGGAGTTGATTTTAGAAACAAGTTCTTCTTCCACATAATCTGCATTTGGTTGTACCTATCCACTATGGGTAGGGCTTCCTAATACATCCACATTCGATTGCTTTGGCATATGAGAAGGGAACTCACAGCAAATACCAAAATGTATGAGTCTGGAAAAACAGTCTGAATCCAATCCATAGTTTTGTATACAAACAGAGGTGTCTCCCTGTTATAGGGATTTAATGTAGACCCAACGAGGTCCTTGGAACTTCCAGCAAACACACCCATGCCATAATGGTGCTAATCACGCCAATTGGCTAATCCAAGAAGTTAGAAAACAAAAACACCGGGCGCTTCCTTGGGTTGCCTGCTAAGCACAGCTGACAGTAGGGTAAAACACCCCAGATACCGTCCTAAAAGTCCTGAAAAACAGCCACCAGAACTGCTGAAAACCGTATGCTACACGGCTAAACCATGCTGAATGCCTGAGCTGACCGTGTGGAGGCTCCAAGTCCTTTGTTTAACAGTACTTTATAAGCTGATATTACTCTGCTATTACTTGGTGTATTGAAATCAAATTTGGGCAGTTTGCGACATACTTGCCGTACTTAGCAAAGCTGTTAAAAGTTCGAGAAAGACTCACTTGGGGTCCAATGGGGGACAACAAAGTTCAAAATATTTAATCTCTGATATCTCAGAGACTACTTTACTGATCAGTAAAATTTTTTCACTTATGTTTAGAGCTTGAAATGCCAATTTCAAAGATGTATAGTTCTTCAATATTGAAGCCAAACTTATTGAGAAAAGATGATTGATTGTGGAGCCTAAATTGCACACTACATACTAGCGTGCAACTTAGACAAAAAGTAGTTTGAAAAGTGAAAAACTATATAACTTAAATGTATTTCTATTATCTATACTTAAGCTTAAATCTATTATGGCCCAAAGGATTAGATAACCTGGTTAGTAAAAAGGTCAAGAAAGTTATGATGGATTGAAGAAAGAGCAGTTGGCAGTACTTCTACTTTCCTTTCTTTTTCTAAAAACAGTTGTATGTACTTCAAGCTTTTCTTCATCCATGCTACACCTAGTATGCTTGTATATGTCTGTTGGCTTCACTAGTAAGTGATCCAAGTTGAGAAAAAAATCATGTTTTCTTTTCTTTTAGAAAAACTAACACTCTCAAATGAAACTTGAAAAACTATCAACCCAGGTAATATCTTTTTCATGAAAAGTTCATTGTGTCTGCTCACAATGGATTCTCAGTCCTTCTTCATCACTTCCCATCTTATCTCCTTCCTCTGCCACTAGCACACTAAAATGTGATCCTTCCTCCTTGACACTCTCCAGTTAACCCTTTCTTCTTGGAAGTACTGCCTGAGGCCAACCAATATTTGAAAAAGCTAAATGCACAAAAGACTGAAAGTAGCCCATTTTGATAGAGTCAAGAGAGAAGAAAGAAAAAAAAACAAAAATGGCTTAATCAAGCCACAAGCCATCTTCGGGCAATCACTTAGAGATCATTCATTATAATTTAAATATTAAAAATTACTAAAATAAAATCAATTACCTTTAAAGGTATTACGTGTTTATTGACATCATAAAAAGCACACATTGCAATTGTCCATGAAAGCAGACCAGCTACATTTCCACAAACTTTTGTTGCATTATTTAAATTATAATCTTCCATTTCAAGATAAGGTGCCATAAGTTCAATTATTTCTCCATTAATCTGATCTTTGTCAAAATTTTGTAGCATAGATAAAAATTGGACATTACACAGCAACTAAATGAAAAAAAAATATTTGTCATCATCATCATAAATTTTTCGAATCTGATATTGTAACTTAAATACAATCAAATACATCTATTAATCATCTGTTAAAATTAAAATAGATTTTATATAATGTCACAGAAAATGGGCAAACAAACACACACAAAAAAACCCTGACATATTTTTGCATTTCTTGGCATTTCAAAGTCCAGAGTCCAAAAATGTAAAAATCTTTAGGGTCATTTTTTGACCAATTGCTATACTTTCTCTCTATTATATATAACAGAACTAGGAAATAAAAAGTATTTTTAATTTTTAATCAAATATATATTTTTTCATGTTTTAAGGAAATTTGTAAATTTTTGAGAATTGAGTAGCTAAAAGGAGAGATCAGATTGTCGTGGAATGTATTCTGGATGATGAAAGTGAATAAAAATGACAATTCCCAGTTCATAAACTGTTTTGAATATATAAAGTGTGATTTAGAGCTTACAATATGTCAATACACAAATTACAATTAGTATGATCAACAAAAGCCTAATATCAAATAACAAAGTAAAATATGTTAAAAACTAGTAAACTAGTAATAAAGAATTTTTAATACGTACCTGTACATTAAACCCTACATCAAATTTAGATTGAAACATATGGTTTCTACAAATGCCAGTTAAAAGTTTGAGCCATTTTTATTGAGATAGAATCTCATAACTAGAATGAATGCCATTATGATATCTCTTCTATTGACTATACTTTGAAAGAAAATTTTTTAAACATTTAATAATAATAATAAAAAAAAACTTCTACTTTATTTTGGGTTTGATTAAAACAGAAATTTCAGGAAATATTATTACATTTTCTGTTTCCATCCACATTTATGCTGTATTTTATGCATTTTTGTTCCTGGACTGGGTTTATTTTGATTCTAAAAACAACAGGATATTATGCATTTCCAATACATTGACAGGTTTAAAAAAATCATATTATTGAAAACATTCAACACATCATTATTATTGTTTAATAAACTTATACAATAGTTTATTTAAAGGATGCAACAAACTAACTAAATTACATACTTTTTATTCTTGGAAATGAATTTCTTTTTTTGTATTAAACAATACAAAAAGGGAGTGAGCAAGGATTACATATCATTGTTAATTATGCAAAAAACAAATACAGATAGAGCTTGAGAGTATTGAATGCAAGTTTTTGTTTGAAATTCAAATTTAAACAAGTAAATCACATAATACACATCTATATTTTCAGTGAGACAATAGAGAGAACTTTTATTTAGAAATATTTGCAATTCAGAATATATAAATGAATACTTATTAATATTTTATTTACTGCACTTTTCCCTTGTATTTTCTAAAATATAAATACATATTGTGCAATTATTTTCATATTTTAACATATTTTGAATTAATTAAAATTAATATTTTATTATAACCACAGTATGTATCTTATTACAAATTTCTATACTACATGTGAAGAAAATGATAAGATTGCTATTGTATATTTGAATATAAATTCATATATGCATATTCTGAATGGAAGTGCCATATTGTCGAATATGGGACAGCTTCCACAGCAAAAATATTTGAATCATGTAAAGCAGCCAGATTATATGCATTTGTGCATGTACTTTATAGAGCACCAACCTCATGTGGTTTAGCTTGTGGATGCTACACACCAAAATATCGCATAACAATGATTCTATCTAGGGCCGGCACAGCTTCCCTATCATCAAATGTCACTGCATGCCACTGGAGTGCAAGTGCAAGAGAAAAAAATAAGAACAAGAAAAGACAATAAGAAAAAAAAAGTGTGTTTGATGCATGACAGTAAAGAAGAGAATAAAAGAACCAATCAAAGAAAAAATCATTGTTCCATAATAGAAAAGTGCAATAATTTTATACCATGTTAATCATATCAAAACTGTATTGGGAATTAATATAGTATTTTTTGCTGAGTTAAATAGGCTTGAGTCATGTAAATTATGTTGGACTTAATACTCAAATATTGTCAAATTAATTACACTAATCAGTGTTAAAAATAATTATTTCTACTAAAACTTAAATAATTATATGAAATCCAATATATGTTAATCTAAGTTAGATTCCTAATACCCCATTCGCACCGAGCATTTCGATCTAGATTGTGACTAAGGTCGGAGAGAGTTCTGTGGTGTGAACGCTCTAAACCGTTTCAATCTGGACTGAAACGAGGCTAAATCGCGATCGACTGGAGAGAGTTCTTGAAACTAGATCCAGTCATAAAAGAGATCCCACAATCCCACGCGCGCGACAAAATACAAGATGGCTGCTGAACACGTGTCCGGCTATCGACAGAAAAATAAAAAAGACATCTGGAGAGACGATGACATCTGTCTATTATTAGATATACGGCAAGAAAAAGTATTTATTTCTAACCAAAACTTCCATTTTGTTTGTTGGTGTTCGTGACTTACTGCGTAGTTACGTCAATTTTATGATCGCGTGTAATAGCCGGGTTCTTCTCAAGCGAGTTACCTGTGCGAACGGCACGACGTTCCACTGGCGACAGTCACAATCCAGATTGTGGGTAAATCGAGATCGAAGTGAGTCGTGGATTGTGTGCGAACGGGGTATAAAGCTTTGTCCCAGTAAAAACTTTCATTTGTTCTGTGTATGGTGCTCTTTAAATTCCTCTATTATATTAGACCAATGGTTCCCAATTAGTGGTACGTGGAAATTGCATGAAGGGGTACGCGCGGTAATCTAAAATCGGTCGATTTAAAATGTAAATGCACAAGATGAAGCAATCAAAAACATAATGGGTGGACTATCAAAAATTTGGCAATTTACATGATATCGAATGCACAAATTCGTTTATTTATAACTAAAAATATTTTTGAAATTTCATCGAAAAATGCATTTGTGACAATACCTAAATGAAATTCTTACGCAAGAAACAAAAATTGTACAATTAACACAATTTGTGTTAATTGTACAATTATCATTATTATCATGTCAGCGAAGTGGCAATAAAATATTTACTACCGTTTTGCACAACATACCTCTGCGAGAGCAGATTTTTGGCCATGACAAACATGGAATCTAAACATCGTCACCGACTTTAACTCAAAGATGACTTGAGACTGAAGCTGACCAAACAGCAACCAGATTTTACAAAGTTGTACAAAGAAAATCGTGCACATTTTTCACATTAAAATTGAATAACCTTATATTATTTTCATTATTATTATAATTGTATTTTAAAGATAATAAATGTAAAAAAACTTATTTTATTTATCACTAGCTATGGCTTCCCATGGCTTCGCCCGCATTATATCGAATTTTCTCGTGTGAGTAAGATATTTTCTCGCAGTAAAATGTAGCCTATGTTCATCTCCAACATGTAAGCTATCTCTGTGCCAAATTTTATTAAAACCTGTTCAGAGGTTTAGACGTGAAAAGGTAGCAGACAGACAGCAGACAGAATTAACTTCGAATTTATAATATTATTATGGATTAATATGAATTTCTGCTATAAGGGGTACGCGAGTTTGAGCTCTTTCTTGAAGTGGTACGCAGGAAAAACTAATTGGGAACCACTGTATTAGACTAATAGAAGAACATTACTCTTCCTACAGAACAAACTTTACTCATTTAAATTCCTTTCAATGGAGTTTATAGAGTTTGTGTAATTATGGCTTTCATTAGTTTTACTGTAATTTCTTAACTAAAGTTTTTATTTTGAAATTTAATATTTAAAAATTATATTTTTATTTTTATTAACATGAACAAACCTTTAAAGATTCATTCCATGAAGGTTTAGGACATTCTCTTTCGGGATCTTTTGTAACCAAATCTATTGGTTTTTGAAATAATATCAGTACACAATCCATAATTCTCTGAATCAGATGTGGCGGTTTCACTAATTTACGGACTGTAGCAATGTCCACGGCTTTAATAGTCTATAAATATTAAAACAAAAATGTAAAATATAAAAAAGAAAACATTTGTTGTAAAAAGAATCAGCAATAAAATATTAATCCAAAATATAATCAACTATAATTCAATTTTGCTAGTATTTGATCAACTTAAATTGGAATTCTGAGATGAGAATAATTTATTCATAGTCATACTACAGGTGATTAAAAAAGTTACTTCCTATTTTCATGTTGCCATATTTCTTGTCATGCAAAGTCTGATTTATCTAAATTAAAACCAAAACAAGATAACTTTATGGTTTTGAGTTAAAAGTTTTAATTTTTATTTCAGCATAATTTTAAATTTTGAAAATGGCTAACTTTAACTTTATAAACAATGCAGACCACACTAAGCACTGGCTATAACAAGCATTGCCATAGCCAGTGCTATGTAAGGACTGTATGGTGATGCCTATCCTCACACTGCAGTACAGACATAGGAATTACTTCATCAGTTCAAATGGAAAGTGTTTGATCATCCACCATACAGCTCTGGGGTTTCAAACTAACATGGAGTTGAAAACCAGCATAAAGGGCTGGCTAAGCAAACTGGTGGCAACCTTTTTTTGATGAGGGTGTAGAAAAGCTAGTGTCACAATATGATAAATACCTAAATTGAAAGAGTGATTACATATAAAGGTAGCTGAAAAGTGTATCTAACTTTTGTAAACAAAATAGTTTTGATCTTCACTGTTCATTTTTCTTCTCAACACATTGAAAGTTGAAAGGAAGAAAAAAACTATATTCCTTGTATGCATATTTGTGTATAGTGTTTTCCAAAATAAACATGATATATAAGATTGCGCAGAAAAACTTGTATACAAGGCATCAGAGACAAGTGTATAGTGTATTGATAACATAATACATCATTTCAGGTCTGCAATACTGTCAAAAATAAATTAATTAAACAAAATTTACATATTTGGTTTAATCACTTTTATTTAAATAAAACTACAAATAACAATAAAAACTGGTAATGTGTCTGCTATCATCTGTCTATTGACTATCAAAAAGAAGAAGTTCAATTGTCACAACATACCAATTAGTTACAGAACTATGCAGCTGGGCCTATAGTGGTTGAAAGTAATTTGACCATGCATATGAATTATGTAAAATTAATTTTTATTTGGTAATATTGCAGAACAAAAATAATGTATCATATAACCAATACACTATAAACTAGCCGCCAATGCCTTGTCTATAAGCTTCTCTGCACAATCTCCTATGGTAAGTTTCTTTTGGAAAAACATTGTGTAAGCATATCTGTGAATTTAGGACACAGATACAACAGATAGAAACAAATCAACCTTTACATGTATTTTGATTTTACATAAATCTCTTGTTATTATTCATTATAAATAAACTATAAATTTTGTAAGTTTTACTTTATAATTTACTTTTAAAAATTTTTGAATTTCAGTTGTACTGAAAACAATAAAATATAAACAAAAACTAAATCCATTATATTAGTATACAATTAAAAAAGTCTAAAATATCATTAGAAAATTATAACAATGAAAGATAATAGAATATGCTATTTTTAATAACTTGCAGGCACAGTTAAACAGGATTTCTTCAAAAGATAGCTGATAGAAAGATGCAATTATTATTATATATCAATTAAGATTTTACACACATATGTATATTTGCACATACAAATATGAATGCAAATGCACAAAGAATACTTTAAAGAATACGCTTATCTTTTCTTTCCTTTTAGTTTTTATAATTATTATCAATTTCATTTTACAAACACATCTATCATATTAAGAAATTAAGAAAGTCAGAAACAGAATTTATCAGTTTAGATTATTTATTAAAATTTTAAATTATTAGCGTTATAGTAATTAGTAGAAATCAATTTACTATACACATTCATTAAGTATCATTTCTACCTTCAGAGCATTTTCTGCTTCTTCCAATGCAGGCCTTGCTTCTTCCAACTTATCTTCTGCAAGTTTTTTATCTGCAGCAATTTCATCTTTAAGTTTTTGAGCTTTTTCTTTATCCTTTTCAACTGCTTCTTTTATTTTCACAGAAGTTTGAGCTTTAGCAGTGACAACAGTTAATACCTACAGTAATTATTCAATTCACTGACTTGGTATAAAAGCAATTTCTTTTGATTTACATAGTTTATTAACTTTCTTATGACAAACTTTAATAATAATTTATGCTTTGTCATAATCTATCTACATATAATCTATATAATCTAATTTTTTTCCTTCAAAAATACAAAAAAAAAAAAATTATATGTGACTATCTTATCAAATCAGATTACAATATGGTTAATATCACAACCCAAGATAGTAAGATAATAATTTATAATGCTTCTTCTACTCATATAACATTATTTTTTAATATAAACATCTATTTCCCAGTTACTTGTTATTTGTACTAATATGGATTTACTACTTTAATAATGTGTTTAATCATAATCATACCTCCTCAGCTTTGGATTTTGCTATTTTTAGTTTTTCTTGCATTACAATTAATTCTTTTTGAAGAACAGCAACTGCTTCTGAAGCCTGAAGCAATTTTTCTAACCCAACATGAATACGATCTGATAACTGATACATTTCCTCAAGTTTTTCTTCATAAATGTTCTTGTAACCATCAATAAATGAAAGATATGATTTTGGTGTAACAAATGTTTGTCTTCGAAATCTAAAAAAAAATTGTATAATATATAAATAATAAACATCTAATTTATACCTATTAACTCATGTCAAATTATAATTTACATCTTTCCTACTGAAGGATAATAAATGAATTCTATAAAATATATATCTAAAGTAAGAACTGATCAGTCATTAATTAAAATAAACAATTTTATTACTAGTTAAGAAACAGCTATATATCTATTTTATTATTTAAAATACTTGCCATTTTGTTAAAAAACAGTTTTAGTAACAGAGCACAAATTTATTTTTATTTTCTTTTCTTGGAATGGAAATCTCTTGATTGGAATTTTAATTACATCATCACCACTGCTTTCAACTCACTCTCTTCCTTAAACTGTTAAAAACCAAGCTACTGTTTGAGATGAAAGAATGAGTAAAAGTAACTTAAAGTCTGAACTATACGGAGAATGCTCACAGTGTTTCCATCTGAACCACTAAATTTTTTGCACTATATGAGCTGAAGTGTGTGGGCATGCATTATTGCAAAGGAAAATTATTCCTGACAACAAAACCTGTCTTGCCAGTTTTGAATGGCAAGACTCAGTTTCAAAATATATTTCAACCATGACCATTGTCCCTGGTTCCAAAAAATCTACAAGAACACATTTTTAATCCCAGAAAACAGTGGCAATAATCTTTCATCTGACTGAGTTTGCTTGAATATTTTAAGCTTTGATGAAGACAGTAATGCCATCACAATGATTATTGTTTTAACTCTGTGTTCACATAAAAAAATCGATATTTTGTATCCATACTTTTGTGTAAAATTTTTCCATAAAGAGTTGTACTAAATTTGATGGTGGGAATCAAAAATGAATATAATAAATTTACCTTGGAAAAGCTTTCAAGTGCATAAAGAAATTTAGCCAAAAGAATTCCACTTTCATTAGTTAGTTATCAAAAATTGATTTAAATGTAATAATTTTAAAGAAAAAAATTAAATACAATAAAACACAAAAAACAGATGTGATGAATGCTGTAATAAATTGGTCCATAAAATAGTATCTCCCACTCTTGCTACTATGAAGATAGTTGATTTTCTACTGATGCTTGACTAAACTCAAATATACACAGGTAGCAGAACTTTAAAACATGAATTTTGGAAAAAATACCAGTCATCTTGAACAGATGTGTACATTCATGTCCCCAGAATTTTAACCAGTGAATAATAAGCTGAAACAATACTATGAATTATATTTTGAAGTTCTCTCCCTTTTTTAGTTTTTCGCAGTTAGATTCTGATCTTGGTTTTATTTTTTCATTGTTTTTCTATTGACTGATTTAAGACCAAATAATATTATAGAAGCAATGATAAACAGTCATAAATAACTCACAGCCAATAGAAAGGCAGTGGAAACATTAATTAGCCAAATTACTCAAAAAAAAAACAATTAATATTCAAAAACATCTGAGATGTAAAAAGTTATTGCACAAAGTAAAAATTATGGCAGCCAAAATGCTAGTCAAATTTCTTCTTGGGAATTTCTCTTTGGCAAAAATAAGTTTGATGCTTCAAAGTGATACCATAAGCTTTTGCTTTCTGGATGTTATGTATACATAACATGGGAAAGCATTGAAATAATGTCAAATTTGATCCTCTAAGTTTTTTGCAAATCTTTGTTTTTAGACACCCTGAACCTAAAAATAGGAAAAATTCCTTGGATATGTATGTGATATGTGACTGTGAGTGTTGGCATCTATTTCATTTAATATCTTGGGATGAAGTAATGATTAAGAAACTAAATTTGGCTTTAGTAGCTTGTTTAAATTTTGATGGTTAAAGGTCAATTGAATGGAGAGATAAAGGGGAGTCATGTCATATTTCGAAGGGGATTGGACATAATAAAGATTTTACTTGTTATGAACATCTACAATCCTTTATAATATCCATCACTGTCCTTGAAATTAAGCTTTTTGCCATTTTATAATAGTTAATTATAAAAAGTTTAAAAAAAAATAAAGTATCATAACCAACGATGCCAAATGCAATTTTAAATTCTTTTGCTGAGAAAGTTATGCAACTTGTTGCTGGATTTTTTATTATTACTGTCTTTGCACTTCACATTCTTGCTTTAGTAACATGAAGCTTTTCAGAACTAATTTCAAAGACTAAAAAACATTAAAAAAATTGCCAGGACAAATTCACATATAGAAAAAATATATTTCCTTTAGCCTCATGTGGCCTCAAATAAAAGGTCGATATCGCCGTTGATTTGTTATTGCCTCTACTAAGCGTGAGAAGGGACAGATGAAAATGGACTCAATTATATGTATAGTCTGAGAAGAAATATAAATATATTTTTTCTATTTTGTCATATTCTCTTGGATCAAAATTTATCAGAGCTTTAGTTTTTGGGTTTGTTAAAAAAAATTTTTTTAAATTACAATTCCATCCTTCACTGTATGAATCAATTGCATTAATAATTTCATGAGAAACAAACAAGCAGTACATAATGTGAAAAGAAATATAAATATATTTTTTCTATATAATTTCAAAGACAATGATTGTTCTTCTCACACATTGAAAGCTGGTAGAATGACTGAGTGATAGCATTTTATAAAGGATTCTGGTCGAGACTGCTGAAAAAAATTTTTTTACCTAGAATCCAATGGTGCATCACTCTCCATCCTATACCCATGCTGCATCAGTAGCAAAGCAGATTTATCGCTAAACACTGGTAGTCAGATTTGGTTGGCTAGTGAAGTTTACAGAGTTTTCTTCACTTCGACAACACCCAAATAGAGGCCAGTTTTCCTTAAAAGTTCCACCAACAGGCACGTTCCCTGATTGGCAAATTGTCCTTTTGTTGCATTATCTAATACCAGTCAATACATACATAATTTACATGCTACTTAGCATCAGTTTTTTCACATAGCATATGAGCTATGAAAAAATAATAAAATATAAAGGTTAAGATATTTTTTACAAGTGCAAAGTCAAGAATTGTGCAATGCTTTCTAATTTTTTGTTGAATAATAGCAAAAATATACTGAGTTTGATATAAGTTATATAGAGAATACAGCTTTCTAGATGATGTAAATATATTTGTTTAAATTAATATAATTGGTGTTTTTGGTTATAGCAATGCAACACATGAACATTCTGTTGAGGGGTTACCTCCTGGGAGAACATTTATAGAAAAACTATTTGTGTGTTACTAATGTGAAAAAAATATGGAAAGCTCTATGTGGCCAGCTCATTTACGAGGCTCAATCTTATGACCAACTACCAGTGTTCGGTGGTTATATCCATTCAGTCACTAGTGAGTGTTAAATTAATAAAAGCTATTTTTAAAAGTATCAAGCATGTCACATGAAATACGCATAACATTTTGGTGTAAAATGGCCTTTATAGATAAATATCATTTTGATATATAAATTTATCAAAGTTTTCATGTTCTAAGAAATTTCTTTAAGTTTAGATATTAATAGATTAATTAAAAAGTATTTTTTGTACTTCACATTTTACCAATAGTAAAATTCAAGGTCAAGAATTTTATCAATTCTGACAACCTAAAAACATCAACTCCAGCAACTCCATCTCCACAACGCTGGTTCACACACATATGAAACAGTTGAAAAAATAAATTCAAAAGTACACATTTTTTTTCTTAAAATGAAACTTGTAAAAGATTAATTTTTTTCTTATTGTTCTGTAATTATAACTTACTAGCTGCAAGTACCTGCTTCACTGGGTTTTTATTTGTTCATACATTTATATAATATAGTTTTTTTTTTACATAAAAGACTGTTTATCTTCCTCTACATAATCTTTCTCTGATTTGATGTATTTCCCTATAATTTTCAAGTTGCTCTTCTGTTTGATTATTTCTGTTTTGATATGATTTGAGACCACAAAAATTTTTTCTTACACTTTGGCATTTTTTTTTATATTTTTACTTTTCACAGTTCACTATTCACTTTTCACTTTCTACCTTTTTCTGTTATTCATACAGTTTTACTAATGAAAAATCAACTGAAGCATGTGTGTCACACGTCTCCAAAAGCCATCCCCACTACTCACACATAATAGTCCTCGACTATTCCAAAACATTTTCGACTATTCAAAAACATTTAAGATTAAGATTACATTATAGCCAATCATACCCATTTTCACAGAATGCAAGAATTAGGTCCCCTGTTTCCAGACTAATTAGAGAATTTTTACATGGGTCTAAAAATATGTTTGATTTCTTGCAAAAACGCAAAAAACCACATCTGCACCTGTAAATCTTGCATGCCGCTTTCTCTTAACACTTCCGTTGTTAACTCTTCCATTCTTAACACTTTCATTGTTAATACTTTCATTGTTAACACTTCCATTATTGACACTTCCATTGTTAATACTTTCATTGTTAACACTTCCATTATTGACACTTCCATTGTTACACATTTTTGAAGTCAACTACTTTCAACCCCCATATCCTTATAGCTATTGTGACGCAACCACCATAGTGCACAATGGGAGACTTGGGGCTACTACCATACACAAACACCATTCATGTGCAATGTGTAGTTTTGGCTGCAGAGTGAAATATAGGGACAAACACGTCCATTTATATATATATCTCATCAGTCTCACTACAAAGAAATTTACAATGCAAACATTTTTAAAAATAAACAGAAATCAAAAATAACATTTAGAAGTGCATATCTTGACAGACTGACAATATCCAGAACTAAAATAACTATAATAAAATTCAATTGTGTACTTCCTTAAAAATACAAATAATTTTATATATATAAAATTACAGGTAGCCCTCGGTTTACGCCACAGTTCCGTTCCTACAAAAGCCGGCGCAAATCGAATTGGCATAAAACGAACCCGTATTTACAGTGAGGTATAGGGTTAGGTTCCACATAAGTGAAAATACGCAAATAATTTTGTTTGTTAATGCAATATAATACAAAGTACAAATAAATTTAATTTTTAAAATGTATTTTATCATAAAATAAAGTTGAATGTTTTTATTAAAAATTTTACTTTCCGATCTCTTACATTTAAAAAAAAAAAGTATCCATCTTTAATTGTTTACATTTTTGTTTTCTTTCATTGAGAATTTCGGAATATGGTCAAATGGATGCGACGATGCTCCTTTTTACATTCGCATTTCACTCCCAATCATTGTCTAACTCACAAAGTTCAACCGTCAAACTTTCCATAGTTGAAAAGATACGTTAACCCCAACGTAGAGCTATGGACGAGCGGAGACACTGTTTGGTCAACCACCAGTCATCGTAGCGCATACGTAAGGTCAGTTTGAGCGGGAAAATTAAGGAGAGATAGATATCGTCTGGTCAACAAGAAGTAGATTTGTCTCACTAGTCACTAATGATAGTTTGTGATAGCCGGAAGTGCTAGTGCGTCGTAAGGTGTTTTCCTGAATGAACTGATATGGGATAAATTCAATGACACTATGGATTCAGACACCATTTATTGGACTATTAAGTTTGATAACTTGACTTGTAGATACCTAAACGTTTAGTATTTTAATATTAATTTAATGCAAATTTATACATACCCAATAATATTAAACAGAAAAAATAAATATATTCAATAAAAATCTTTGTTTCAACAAATGTACAATGTCGTGGCTTGGTAAATACGTCAACACTGAAACGAAAATCAGTTTGGCATAGGGAAAATCAAGGAATTACACAGCAAATTTGCGAATTGTGCAGCGGCGTTATTGTGAATCGGCGTAAATTAAACCGGCGTAAACCGAGGGTTACCTGTATTTGTATTTTTAAGAAAGTACACAATTGAGTGTTATTTTAGTTCTGGATATTTTTATTTTATGTATATATATATTGTGGTCATACGCCATAATTTTGTATAACATATTTGTATATATATATATATATATTTCATTCCCATTCTTTCTCTGTCCTTTGTTCCCTTGTACTCTCTGTTCTGGAAACTTCTCTCTGTGGGTGGCAACTATCTGATTGAAAGACAAAAAAAGCGGTTAGCCCGGAGGTGCTAAAAGGAAAATAGAGGGGTCACTTCTGGCAGAGACGTTGAGCTGTGAGAACATATTTCATGGATATCATCAAGCCGATCTCGCATCGTCAAGAAGAGAAAAAGAACCAGTAGGCCTAAGCTAGCAGACATGACAGAAGAACTCTAGTAGTATGCTAACATGAGAACCTCTCCGGAAGTTTATCGGGAAACCCGAAAAGAAAAAAGAAAAGTTCAAACTATGGTCATCGAACTTCGTGTCGTCCAGCAGAGAGAAGATCTAAGATACAACTTCGATCATAAGGTTACCAGCTAAGTTGGGTACCCATTCACATTCGGTTCTATCCTATCAAATACTCCTTCCCTATAGAATAAGTAGTTCCTAGATAATTAGTTATAAGTTTATCGTGTTTAATTTTGTAACGTCACGTATCTTCAGCCATTCCTTTGTCGCGAGAATTTGGGTTGACGTTTCTGTCCGAGTTAACATTCTAGACATTTTGTCCAAGAAGTTGTCGGAATTCAAACGAAATCCTGTATTGTTATTGAATACTGGTGAAAAATTAAAAAATTTCATTTGTCTTACCATATCTCTTTGTTAGACTCATTTTTCACCATGTGCATATACCACAATATATATATCATTTAAATACAAAAACAATAGTTTAAATATTTGTACAAATGATATTATTTTAAAAATTACCTTAGAAAATAATCTTCACAATGATTAGCAACACTGTTATGAAAATCTCCCATTACTTCAATAACTTCTTTCTTTATTTCTTCAGAACATTCAATTACAAAATCACGTAACAAGTGTGATGCTACAGCATGTAATGCATCCTTAGGCCACTGAGTAAACCAGTCTATTGTACATCCAGATATAAGGCCAGGAAATTTTAAACTGCGACTTCGAAATTTTTCTCCAACCTACCACAGGCAAGATTTATAACAAGATTTTTAATAACATTATCATAAATTTTCAAATTTATTTAATCTGTTTTATATACAAAAGAAAATTCTAAAAAAGTTAAATAATTACTGGTGAAAAGCACAAAACAATATGAAGATTTGAATGTATTCTTTTTAAGAAATAACTGTATAAATTATCTGCAGATGGAAGACATCTAGGATATTGCCTTTTCATTACTGGTACAAGATTTTGAGTTATTTCATCCAATTCATCTCGTGTATATAAATTTGATACCTATAAGATATTAACTTCAAATTTATGAATTTTAGAAATTTCAATAATAAACACTTTTATTAAAAATCTACTATATATCAAGGTTTCTTAAACTTTATCCATTTACAACCTCTTTTACCCTATAATGGGAAAATTTTAGACAATTCCCATTATATAGATATATTAAATAGACATACAAATAAAATCACTTATTGATAATAAATTATAAAACAATTTATTCCAAAACAATTCTTTGATATACTATTACTTCATCATTTATTAAAGACAAAAGCAAATTTGTGTACTAATGATGTGAATGTGATTGTTTATTTTTACATAAAGAATTAAATCTTGGCTGAATACTTAATAATGCAGGATGCAAGGCATCTTCAATGTTTTTCAGAGTCAACTGACATTTTGATTTTATAATTGTCCATGCTGAAAATTCTGCTTTACATAAATACATAGTACAAAATTTTACTGTTGTCAAATTTTTGCAACCCCCACACTGGGACACCAACAACTGGGTGACGGACAACTGGGAAACAAAATAAGATATGAATAATAGNAGTTTGCTTGAATATTTTAAGCTTTGATGAAGACAGTAATGCCATCACAATGATTATTGTTTTAACTCTGTGTTCACATAAAAAAATCGATATTTTGTATCCATACTTTTGTGTAAAATTTTTCCATAAAGAGTTGTACTAAATTTGATGGTGGGAATCAAAAATGAATATAATAAATTTACCTTGGAAAAGCTTTCAAGTGCATAAAGAAATTTAGCCAAAAGAATTCCACTTTCATTAGTTAGTTATCAAAAATTGATTTAAATGTAATAATTTTAAAGAAAAAAATTAAATACAATATAAATTAAAACAAAAAAGTATAAAAGTTCTTCAAAAGAATTTGTTTTTGAAGAACTGCCTTTCTTTGATGTGTTTTGTTAACTGTTCTGACATAAAATAATTAACAATGCTAGAGTATGTTGTTCCAAAACATTTCCTTTTCCTGAGTTAGAAATAACTTTCAACTCATACTTCATAACTTATAACTCATACCTTATATGTATGTCAATCATATTTATATATATTTTACTAATATTTACAAAAAATAAAAAAAATATCAGCAAAATCATATGCTTGCTAAGTGTGCAAAGATTTTAAAATTCCAGTTGACTATCACCCACTTGTTGTGTACCCCACGCTCAGTTATATGATCCCCTTTTGTGTCACAATTAGAGTTGCCACCTGTCCGGGTTTGACCCGGAGACTCTGGGATTGAGTGAGTTATCTCTGGGCTCTGGGGTTAATTAATATTTCTCCGGGTTGTGCAAGTTGAAATGAATATGTACAAAATTATATGCAAACTGTCGCATATATTTCTTCCCCCGTGTACCGAATTACTAGTGTGGTAGTTGTTGACTTAAAGACAGTAGCGTAGCATAGGGGGCAGCAGGGGAGTCCTGTTGAAATGAGCACAGAATAGTGTTACCATCTGATTCGCCGTCCGGGGATATCGTGCGTAACCTGCCAACCTTTTTTTTTTTTTTTGCTTGTACTGTTCATTCTTAATCATATAGCCTACACCTCCAATATCCAATAGAGCTAGGTCACTTGCGTTACTCCAATCCAAGTCTCCCTAGTCGCTAACTGTAACTGATTTAGAACCAGCATGCACTGAAAATTATTCTTCGCATTGCAAAATGATATACACATGCGTCAGGAACTTCTGTTCAAACAAACCTCACCTGCCGTCCGGGTCAGCGATTTTAAAAAGGTGGCAACCCTAGTCACAATTCACAATTTAAGAAACCATAACGCATATCAATATCTATAAATTTTATTATCATTTACATATATTTGGTACAAAACTACAATAAATATTTTGTAAGAGTTTATTTTAAAATTATTTATTTTGTCACTGATAAGAAAATATATTTGTTTCAGAAAACCAGAAAAAACTTTTTTGAATTTGAGAATTTCAATATTTGTGAAATAATGCTGAAATTCTGAATTTCAGTAAATTAAAAAAAAAACATTTAATCTAATTTTTACCTTCATACTTAACACTAGGATCAAATAAGTTATCATTTTTTTACTGGCACACTTGATAATAGCATCAATTCCACATGTTAACAAAAAATATAACCCTTTTCTAAGGTACCAATGCAAAATGCCAAGATGCAAATATCACTAACTTGAAAGTAGCCATTGAATTACCAATATTTTTATCATTTAAATTTAACTACAAATAGAAATTGGTAAATAGTTAGATGTTTTAGTATTGATAGATTTCAGATAAATTATGTTTTAATTAAATTCTTTTCATATATTATTTTGCACTGATCTTGTAGATATTAAATCTAGTTGTTCCTTTGCTGACATGTAAATTGTGTTTCTTTTTTTGCTTTTCCTCTGTATATCTTCTTGTAGCTTAAATATTTTTTGCATCTATAAACTAAAAATTTTGACAATAAATTGCTTATACCCAATCTTCTTTCTTTGAGTTTTTTGATTCACTCTAATTCCTATTATTTAAATATAAAATAAACTTTAAATACTTTAAATATTTATACAGTAGTAGGAATTCCAATGCCTACTGTATAGTTAATATCAATGATATTTAAACTAAAAAAAATTATTTTTATCAGATTATTATTTTGATAAAAGTATTTGTCAAAATTAACTAACTAATCCTAATTTTCTAACCAAACATTTTCTTATTCCAGAATAAAAAATGCTTGGAAATATTTTATTTGAAACATATAAATAACAAAAATAGATTTATTCAACCTGATTTGCTCTAAAGAAAACATAAATAATAAGCAATGAACTCAAGAAAACTGTTTCATTTGAGTTGAAACATTTTCTTGCCACAGGATACATATTGAAGTGAAAATTTATCATTACTTACTTCTCCTGAACTAAGTATATTATTTATATACTCTAAAAATGCTTCATCTTTTATTTCGTTGTCTGTGAATATAAATGTTACTCCTTTTCCTTCTTCACCAGCAATTTGATATAAACTTTTTAAATCTTCTATTAAATTATTTACATTATAAGATCTAAAAAATATATATTTTTGATTAGAATTAAATATAAATATAAAATATAAAGATTAAGTTAACTTAAAAGTTAACATAAATTCAGAATAATCATGTCCAATATCTTTTCAAGTGTGTAAATTTATCTATATACTTCATATTATTTTGTTTGAAATAAAATCAACTGAATAAAGTTAAGTAACATATATATACATATATGTTATGATATATAGGATAGAAAGATATATATATAAGAATACAAGCGAGGAGACTGAGCCCTCTAATCGTCGAGTTGACAAAACTCACCCACTTTGTCTTTCGGATGGCTTTCTATCGAGTGGCGAGGGGGTTTGGAAAGTCGACGGGTGTCTGTGCAAGCAATGATATACAGGTTCACAGGTTAAACAAACAAAGAAGGAGTTTATTATATAACTAATCTAATTTACATGAGCATACATAAAGAATTAAATGATTAAATGCAGATAACACATAAATCTATCGATAGCAGTGATCAAACTAGTCACTATGTCACATGTCTAACCTCTAGAGTGAGAGTTTACAAAGGTTACTGCACTCAGATATACCTTAATATACTGTCAGATGACGGTATGTGACAATCATTCAGGACTATGGAAGCTGGAACAGTCTTATGTGTTCTACCTGCTTCTCCTTGGACAGGACCAGGATGGGAGACACTTCCTGTGACGATTGCCCTGAACTTCCCGTGACAATTGCCCTGAACTTCCCGTGACGATCGTTTTTATACAATCGTCATTGGCACTGAGCCAACTGGTCATTCACTTATTATGATGACTAATTAGCACGAGCACGATGACTAATTAGCAGATGCGTGATGACTTGTCTTTTTTCCTTCTTATCTTGTTTATGTGTAAGAGTCGACATCCAATCTATTTCTGTGGAAACTTGCGAAAAATTTTTTCTCATCCTCTAATGTCTACAGTTCCTTCGAAAAAGGTCATTAATCCCTTAAACTCAAAAATTTATGCCCTCAAAACTTTTAGGCTCACATATATATCTTTCTACCCTGTGGGTGATAAGAAGCCTTTTTCAGGCCCTCTGAATGCCCACAGGGCTAAGAGTAAAAAACTTATCCATTGTGAGCAGAGCAAGTTTTGGACTAATAGTCCTTGCATTCTACAGATATTTTGCTGCCCCTATCAATGCTGATTGCCAGTAAATTTGCACTGGTATGTTTTATGACAGTTTCATATAGTTAATAGATGTAAAAAATCCATAAATAGATTTGCTATGTCTTTATTTTAATTTATTTAAAACAACCTATCCCATAAAAAACAGGTGCCTTTGTTCAAAGTTATATTTTAGTGCTGCCATAAAATAGAATTTGCAAATTAAAATAAAATTAATTTAAAGAAATTTTCTTATTTAGTATATAAATACAATATATACATATATGCATATTTAAATTAATAATGTTCATTCACATCTATGTTTATTGGGCTGTAATTTAAAAAAAAATTTCCATTGACACCTGTCTGTCTGTCCTTCCTTAATCTTCAGAACAGAGTTAGATAGGTGAAAGTCAAGATGAGATGTGGAAAGCTTAGGAGCAGGAGACCCTGATTTACCATATACAAACTTCTAGTTTGGAGTATAAGTCATGTTAATTCAATTCAAAAATTTTCTCCTGAATAGAGTTATATAGATGACCAGTATGACTATTGTAACAGGAAAAATATGAAGTATGGGGGCAAGACTCTACTAAAGTTGAGAACATTGTGATGATGTCACAATAAATAATAGCTCGTTTAAATTTCCTTTTTAGTTCCATCAACAATTAAAAAATAATGTAAGTATCACATTAACATTAACAGTATGGGAATAAAAGCCTCTTCACAATAAAAATTGAGCATAAACATAAAACCATGTATCTACATTTTTGCACGTACCCATGCAAACATCAGTCTATTTCATTACTGACCACTATATTATAATAATATTAAATTATATTTGAACTTGTGTATATGCATGCACTGCACACCAATCAGAACCAGCCTTGATTGTGAGTTTCGCCAGGTGTCAAGAAATGAGACCAACATATCAGAAATGAACTACTCCAAAAAATTCTTGGGTTTGTTAAATCATCCAGATTCAATCCCAGATCCCATAGAGTGGCTTACCAGTTTGGCATCAGACCAGCCACTTTTAATATTAGATTAAATCATTTTCAGTAAAGGTGAGAATAAAAAGAGTTCACCGTTAGTAACGGCTCACTAAAAGATTGTCACCAGTGCAACCAACCTTTTATTACATAATAGCCATAACACAATATGAGGTATATGTAGATATTAGCAAGGTTGAGGCCAAAGTTTTAAACACGAAAATGTGTACATCAAATGTTCAGCGCCGTTTTCCTGTAAGCCTAGAAGTTTGACAATGGTGTTTGGATAGTCAGTGAAATCATGCTCGACATTCCAAACACCATTGTCAAACTTCTAGGCTTACAGGAAAGTGGCACTGAAAATTCGACATACATGTTTTTGCGTTTAAAACTTTAGCCTCAACCTCACTATTATATTCATTAGTAACTTCAATCAGTGTATTCTAACAGATAACATACAAATTTCAACTGTAAGCCATTCTATACTGTACTGAAGTCTTTCTTACAATTTTTCAAAAAGGTTCTTTCTTAATATTTAAATTAACAAATTTTCTTATCAATTTTGTGAAAGAAAGTAAAGATGTAATCCCTATGTGCTAAGACATATTTTGTATTAGATGGCACTATCTACTATTGGCGCGCTTTATATTATTTTGGTCATAGGTCACAATATTGTTTTGGTCTGCTATGTCTCTGTGTAGCATGTTGTCTCCCCTCATTCAGCTTTTCTTCATGTTACATCTAACTATATTTCTGTGCATCAGAGGTGGCCCTAGGGCTATGCAAACGGTGCGACCGCACCGGGCGCAGTCATAGTGGGAGCACCGAAAATGCAACGATAGATTGTCTGCGAAAAAAATAAATCTCGATCACCTTTTTACTACTTAACCCTTCCCGCCAAAATAAATACAAAGATTAAAGAAACCAATATTTATACATTTATTTCCTTATTTCCTTTTGTTCTCCATCTTTCTAGAATTTTCTTTTCATTTTCTTTCTTTCCTTTGGGTGGGACCACCAATCCCAAGAACATAAGACAATGGGAGAGTTAAGGCCCGAGAGCCGATAAGACAAAAAGAACGGGCTAGTCTTGACTGGACCTTCGTGGGAGTAAGACATGAAGAGAAGAGTGCTCCAGATCGTGAGTAGGCGACTAGGGGCTATTTGAGACTGAATAATTTCGAAGGAAGGACATTTTGGTTATGTTAGAAAAATAGAAAACTCCAGAGTCAACATTAAACATAAGTCCTGATTTTAAAGAAAGGGAAGAAAAATCATGTCTGGTGTATTTGCAGAATCCGAGGCGGTGCCCATCCAGTGTTCACAAAATAAAAAGAATCCAGGGTATTTTGATCTTCTACCCTCATTGGTTATAAGTTAGTGAATAAGAATTAGTTCTAAGTTTCTGTACGTGTACTATTGTCGCAAAATTATTGTACTGTATATTAAATGTCCGACTACTTTTGAATACTATAATATTCGTGGAGTTTGATCTAACAAGAACCCGGTTCACAAGCAACAAATAAAATACTTTGTGATTTAAGAACCTTGCTAAGTATTCTTTGTGTTAGTCTATTTGGTAGTCCATACACATGTTGCTCATGAACATCACATTAGTATTAATTAAAATTGTGTTCAACTGACATTTAAACAGAATTAGGCTGTGTTATGCAAGTCGCCCTAAATCGCAACTTGAAAACCAGCTTTTCATTACATTTTAGTCGAGTTTGTATTGTATTTGTTGCTCCCTTAGTAAAAGTTTCCAAGTGACAATATTTTTGGGTGTAGAATTAATTTTACGTAATTGCAGTTTACCTTAGTATCGTAAATATTTACAAAGTATAATGTTTCCTTTACAGACAAAACATGTCGCTACCTCCAAAAACTATCGGGCACACAAAACTTAAAAAAGAAACGAAAAAAGCAAGGTGAAACTAAAAAGTCTAAAAAGTCTGCAAAATTTTTGAGAGTAGAAAAGTCATCTGAATCGTCATCATCAGAACTAGTTCAACACGCGATGGAAGAAGACCTATTTAATAAAAATTCTTCAGGCAAAGACCGTGAAGATAAACAGCAGCATGCAAAAGAAGATTTAGCAATTTCTGGAATGTCATATGCAGTTCAAAATATTACAGAAAAGGTTATACCAGACATACCATCACCGTCACCTTCTCAAAATATAGATTATAATATTTCAAAATGGTCGCTCGTTTACCCTGAAACCAGAGATGAAATAATTATTCGAAATCCTGTAAGTAACAAAATGAACAACAAAAAATATCCAAGAAAAAATGATGGATGTCATTTTTCAAATATGCATTTTCAAAGGGTAATGCCAAATGGAGAAACTTATAAAAGAAGATGGCTCATTTAATCTAAATCTGCAGATAAAGTATATTGTTTTTGCTGAACTTCCCACTTTAATTTAAGAAAAGAAGGAGTTAACAACTGGAGACTGTAGTGCATAAGCACTATGTATAGTTAATTCCGTTTATTTTTGTATATATGTCGTGTGTCATATCGGGTTTTACTGTAAAATTCCGTTTTATTTTATGATACCAGATTTGAACGGGTGGGACCCGTCGCTCTTGTTGATTGGTCAGCGACTAACATCACGTGTAATTCACGTCACACTCAACGGCAGGAGGTATAAATATTGGGACTCCCGTCCAAAGAGGGAACTTTGTCTTCTTTCCAGCTGCTGCAAGAGAAAGGACTTCGTAGTGTAAGAATAAAGGGACTGACACGTGTGAACTAAGGAATGAAGAGAACAGAATCCAATTCCATCGTAGAGAATCCGCCCATTGTTCACGAAACAAGTAGAAGATATTAAGACATGAAACATCGAAGAATCTCCGAAAACTATTATTTTTGTCGGTACGTTGAGTATTGTGTATTTCGTTAAAGGAGAAGTAATATCTTCTATCCTTTCACTCGTATAGTTTACATGTTCCCTGTTTTGAAAATTTAATGGATTGTTGTTCCTCTCCTGTGGTGTAAATAGGTTAATGTTCTTTTGTTTGTATATATTCATGATTAAACCTTATTAATTAAATTCCACCATAATTGTAAAGTCCTTTATTTTATGTGTCTGTGCCTTGACCCTATAACCTTGCCTAACAGACCTAGGTCTATTGGGGCTTAACAAGACACTTATCCGTGCGTCTCAAAACTCACGAAACTTCCTCAGATCATCAGTGTGCCATGCACAGTTAAACAGAAGCATCAAATTGATTAAAGCACTTCAGTGGCATTGACAAGTATTTGCAAAAACAGATTGAAGATGAGAAATCATGGTGGGTTTCTATCCTCGAACGAATGATATTCATAGTATTCTTTTTAGCAGGCAATAATTTGTTGTTCAGAGGAAGCTCTGAATGTGAAACACTATATACTCCTAATAATGGTAACTTCCTGGATTTAGTGCAACTGGTAGGAAAATTTGATTCTGTGATGATGGAGCACCTCCACCGTATTGTTAATAAAGAGACTAATGTCCACTATTTTGGCGAATGTATTCAAAACAAGTTGATTGGCTTACTTGGAAGTGAAGTTCAAAATAAAATTTTGAATAGGGTAAAGTCATCTAAATACTTTTCCATCATATTGGATTGCACTCCTAATGTCAGTTGCGTTGAAAAGTTATCTTTAACTTTGCATTTTGTTGACACTAATGAAAGTAAAGTCCAAGTGCATGAGTATTTCGTTGCTTACAAGCCAGTAAGTGACTCTTCGTGAGCTGAACCCACTGGTTTCTTTCTTGATGATATTATGCAAGAGTTCGAGTTGGAAACGAATGATTGTCGATGCCAAGAATATGATAATGGATCGAATATGGTAGGAGTAAACAAAGGTGCCCAAAGTAAAATTCTGAACCAATATCCACGAGCATATTTTAATCCATGTGGCTGTCATTGCTTAAATTTGGTAATAGCAGATGCTGCCAAAACATCTGTTAAGTCAGTTTCTTTGTTCAGATTTCTTCAAAGATTGTTTGCTCTATTCTCTGCATAAAAAAAAGCAATGGAAAGTCATATCCAAGCACATAGAAGCACTATTGCTGAAAAAAGTTTATGAAACTCGTTGGGAGATTAGAGTTTCTAGCCTCGCTGCAGTTCGTTATCATTACTCTTCAGTTTGTGACACCCTTCTGGACCTTCACGAAGAAATGAATGACCCAGTTGCAGAATCAGAGGCCTTGTCCCTGATTCAGATCACAGAGCAATTTGAGTTTATAGTAACAATAGTGGCTTGGTATGATATTTTGTTTCAAGTAAACATTGTAAGCAAGGCTATGAAGTCTGAAACTATGCATTTACCAAATGCTACACAATTGCTGAAGAATTGCTATGAATTTGTAAAAGAGTACCAGTGTTATTCGTCTGCTGTAATAACAGCTATGGAAATTGCTTTTCAGGCTGGGATAGATCTTATTTTTAAGTCAGTCCGATCCCGAAGAAAGAAGAAATTATTTAAATATGAGGCCGTAGATGAGACACCAACAGATCCTGAAGAATTGTTTAAATAAATGTCATTTACCCTATGATCGATACAATTGAGAATGCGTTGGTCACTTGATTTACACAACTATCCAAATTTAATGATACATGGTCCTTTTTACACAACATCAAAACAATTCATGAAAAGTCAAAATTGGAAAAAGCCTGTGCAAATTTAGAAATAAGTTTAACTGATGGAGAAAAATGTGACATATCTGGTTGTGAATTGATTGAGGAACTTTTACAAATGAATCCATTGTTGAAAGAGCTTGAATCATCAGAACCAATAAAAGTTCTTCAACTTATTAAACAAAATGATTGGCAGGATATATTCCTGAATGTGTGGACAGCACTTCGAATTTTGCTGACCATACCTGTAACTGTCGCTAAAAAAGAATAAGTTTCAGTAAATTAAAACTTATTTACATTCAACCATGTGTCAGGAGAGACTGTCAGATCTAGCAATTTTATCTACCGAAAATAGTATTGCCCAGGAATTAAATTATTCTGAATTAATAACAACATTTGCAAGCGCAAAAGCAAGAAAGATGGCAATGTAGGCTTTTTATTTTATTTTTTTTTCTTAATTTGTTTCAATTTTAAATTAATTTACGATGTAAATTTGTCTTTTGTGTGATGTGAGCGTTGTCTGTGTCATAGCAATTTAAATAAATATTGTTATTAATATTGCCTTATAAAAGAAATATTGTTTTTTTTTTTCACTGTTATTGTTCCTCATCCATACTAATACTATGCTATAGATTTTACACAAGAGTGAGTTGGGTTGTGAGAATATACAACATGATCCTGAAATGTGTGCTATATCTCCATAACCTAAAATTAAGAGATTCCATCAATGGCGGGGAGGGAAAAAAATGTCAACAGCTTGCGATATGTCTGAATTAACAAGGGTCAAGTTAACTCTCCATTTACCATTGTTATCGTTTCTCATCCATAGTATTACTAATAGTATTACTATACTAATCTTTTGGAGGTCTGAGTTATTAATAATGTGAAAAATGTATGTTATCAATTTAGTCTCTACAGAGGAGTGCCACAATAAGATCTTGCATCACCTGAAAACCTGGCTAGTCCACCACTGCTGTGCATTGTTAGATTTGTTTATTTGCTTCATTTTCTGACAAATTTAATCTACTTAACTCACCTTGTAAGAGATATTTGAAATGTTTTATAACCAGCAATATATGAAATAAGGCGAGTTAATGATTGCTTTCCAGAACCACCCACTCCAACAAGCAATGCATTTCCTTTTGGTGTTCGAATAATTCTAGATATCTAAAATATAAATTCGTAAACATGTATTTAAATAAGAAATTTTGACTATAAAAATATGAAATAAAATAAAACAATTAATTACTCTAATAAGATGAATCATTGCATCCTTAAAAAATACTAAATCCATACGACCACCATAAATTTCTTCATTTCGCTGCTTCAGAAAATATTCAAATCTTTCTCGCAAGATATCAAAAGATTTTACCTATGAAAGATATATTTATTGCAGTAAACAGTTAAAGACAAATAAACAATTCTATATTAAAAAATTTAGGACAAATTTATTATTTATTTTCCTTAAATTTATAAAATTATATAACTTACAGTTGAACTTCCACATAATGAATTGTCTCTGAAAATCTGCAGAAAATTCATTATGTAAAAATAGTCTTGTACTCTTATCAATGACAATAAAATATGTTTGCATTTTATATAACAAAATCAAACAGACGATAAAGTATTTTTTATTAAAACTGAAAAAATTTATAATTGAAATAATAAGTACCACTATGTATTTATCAGAAATGGTCAGTTATCATCGTCCATATTTATTTACTGAAAGTTATTTTATTTTCAAAAATGATTTTAAAGTTTACTTAAGTAATTAAAACTTTCATCAATAATGTTTTCATACTGACAGAAATTATTTCTTACAGTTTTGAATGTATTAAAGAAGTTATCAGTTTAAACTTTTCTTGTACAGTATATATGATGTTTCAAGTTCTTTAGTACAATATAATAAATATTTCACTGTACTCATAATGATGGTCTAGTCAGTGAGAGTTGTGAAAATGAGAAGTTTTAACTAATTTTAACATTTATCAGTATGAAAAATAAAATGTATTTTTTCCCCTTTGGCTTTCTTTCAAAAAGTTCATTATAAAAAATATATACTTCATTAAATAGAAACATTATTACTTGGGTTATTGGAAATGGAAACTTTTGGAACATCTAATGCTGTGGATTAAGCAAGTTTCAGAATGACAGTGCAGCTTCTCATTGCATTTAATGTAGGAAAAATCAAGTTTAGGACCAATATTCCGAGTGATTTGTAAAGAGGTTGCCATACTATGTCATTGCTCATAGTTTTCATGTTTTCATATTTTCATATAAGTGGAGAAGGCAACTTTTGGCATGATGCTCCTCATATTTATAACTAATCACTTATAAAGTCTGTCCCAAAAGTAAGTGTACTAATTTTTTATTTAATGACTGTGCAGCTTAACACATCATTAATTGGTATTTTCATGTTGCTAGATATCTTAGCAACATGAAAGAGCTATGATGTCTAAACCTGTTTCAAGTGAGTGGTAAGTCAAACATGCACAATCTCTGTTTGTGTAATATAATGTTTTAACACATGAGTACATTTGAAATGGAGAAAAATCTCAAACAACATTACACTATCAAAGTTTTGTGTGAAACTCAAGAAATCTGCAACAGAGACATTTGCAGATTTGATTCAAGCTTATGGAGATGCCACTTTATCCAGAAACATGGTGTTTAGAAGGCACAAAGATCCAGGATAAAGACAATGCTTATCGCTTTTTTGATAGCCACAGAATTGTGCATAAAGAATTCACAATCTTCAGGAGAGAGTTAATCGGGCCTTCTACAAAGGTGTCTTGGAAAGACTTTGAAAATGGGTCAAGTAAGTCCACAGGGACATTGCAAAAGATTGGATACTGCACCATGATAATGTTCCTGCTCACACAATACTATCAATTTGAGTGTTTTTGGCCAAGAAAAAAACCCACACTCTCACAACTCCCTACAGCCCGAACCTAGCTCTGTGCGACTTCTATCTATTTCCTAAGATAAAATCCAAGTTGAAAGGCCATCATTTCGGGACAGTGAAAAACATCAGAAACGTTGTAACTGACAAACTAGACACCCTTACAAAAAATGACTTCAACTACTGCTATGACCAGTGAAAAAAACTTTGGAACCAGTGTTGACCTTGCAAGGGTCGTATTTCAAAGATCATTTGTAGTTTGATGTAACTTTTGTGTACTTTGAAATAAAAAAAATCAGTACACCTACTTTTGGGACAGACCTTGTGTATCTGTAGTTATATTGCTCCAGAATTTCTTAATAAGAACAATGTAAAAAAATATAACATTATATCATTGACATGGCCATGCACACAAGAGCTTTCAGATGTTTAACCTCTATTTCAAATAGAGGTTAAACATCTGAAAGCTCTTGTGTGCACGGCCATGTCAATAACATAATAATATATTTTTTTGTTTTTATTATTATATTATTATATTGTTAAAATTATTAAACTATGTTGTTAACAAAAAGTAATGAAGTTTTTTAAAACGACACCCTTTTAAAAAAATCCTTTGCATGATTATAAAAGAATGAAAAAAAATTCTATTATCTCAGTATTTCAAAAAAAGTTAAACTTTTAAATTATTTTGGAAAAGCACATAATTATAATTTTAGTATCAAATATTAATACATGTTAAAAATTCTTTTATTACAAACTTTTTCAAAACTTACCTCTTCATATATTTTTGGTATTTCATACATATCATCTGTCATTTCTGTATCATCTGGTATGTCTGGTTCATCTTGCAAGAAATCTACAAAATAGGCTTCTTCTGGAATGGAAATACTTTCACCTTCAAGGAATTCACTTGCAACTTGTTTGATTAAATCATCAAACCACTCTTTATCCAGATCATTAGTAAATCTAACATTTAAAAAAATCTATTATCTTCTTAAAAACTTTAATTTTAATTTAATCTAAATTTTATTTGAATTTATAATGATCAGTAAAATTACCCATACACGAAATAATTATTTGATACATCAAAATATAGTAATACCTCATCTTATGTCAGTAATTGATTCCAGAAGGCATGACGTAAGTCAAAAACCAACCCAAGTCAAAAAATGCCCTAAAAACTATTTAAACTATCTATAAACCCATAATAAGCATTCCCCTTAAATATATACACATTAATTAATGCTAAGAAAGAACAAAAAATTTCAAACATACTCAGTCCTCTTTGTTCAGCCACTCATTACAGTCGACCCCCGTATAAGATCATTGATTATTCCGTTTTATATGAATTCCATGTTGTACGAGTCACTTAATTTTACAAATACGTGTACCGGGCTATGAACGGCTCACGTATTTGTAAAATTTAAGTGACTTGTACAACATGGAATTCATATAAAACGGAATAATCAATGATCTTATACGGGGATCGACTGTATATGGTTTTTCACTAAAATGACTCTCTGGTTTTATATCTCAGTTTCAATTTATGGGAAAGTTCATATATTCGACCATATATTGAAAGTACATTTATTTATTGATTTGGTCACATCACACATCTACAACACGTGCAACTATCAAAGTGCATACATATATAAAGTATCATTTACTGCTACATTAAATGTAAGAATATAATTGTTTATATTGTGTTTTATTTTATTCTTTATTTATTATTTATCTTATTACAAGCATATGTTATCTGACATTCAAAATATGGCCAAGCTCTTGCTAAATACTTTTTTAATTATGATTGTTTTTTCTATTTTATTCCAAAAATTGACCATATATCTCTTAACCTACATTAATATATTATACCTTTCATAAAATTATCTCACAAGATATAGTACATTAATGTATTATAATTAAATTAAATATGCTTCTAGCTCAAAATTAACCATACATTAAATGGTTAGCATATTAGTTATGGTTATAATTGATTTGATAAGCCCTTTTAATTATAGCTGTAACTAATAGACTAACAACTTAATAAATGTTGTGCATAATATAATACATTATGTAAGTTAAGGAAGTTTTCAAATAAAATTAAGAATTCCCTGCTTATGCAAGGGGAAAAGTTGTGCCCCAATAATATAACTTGCTGTACTTCAGTCAGGAACAAAGTTCTAGTTTAAATTATTTCCTTATTTGTGTAAATTATATTTTGTTTATTAATTTTTTAAATTATTACTATTTTTTATGTTACAAATGCCTACAGGTGGTGCTACATGTGAAGGCAGGAAGTGAGATATAAACAGAAATTAATTGATATACAGAAATTAAATCAATATTTTGGTATTATGCTATAACAATATCTAAGAAGTACATTAATGTAACTGCAGAGTTTCAGAGAAATTGGTCAAATGGTCTAAGAGTGCATAGTGAACAAACATCCTCATTTATATATATATAGAGTTTCTAACAAACAAAAAAAAAAAGAGATATTTTTATTTATTATTTATTTTGAAAATAACTGACAACATTGTTGTAAAATGTTAATAAAAAGCATAATGCCAAGAAAGAGAAAACTGGGAGTTTTTTTCCGAACCCAGTAAAAATTTAGGGACCTGTAGTGGTTTCAACCTCAAAAAATTAATTTTATTTTTGTTAACAAAAAATTAAATATTTAAGACTGCCTTTAATTACAAATGAAACATTCTACATATTTTGTTTCTTAAAAATAAAATAAAAAATAAAAAATGGGCAAAAGCAACTTGCTAAAACAAAGAAGGCACCTGATCTACCACCAGGGCTTCATAAATCTCTCAGTAGCCCTGCTGAAGTTTTGGTTTTAGTTTTGACTGCTTGAAAACCAATGTAAGTTGAATTGACACAAACTGAGGTCTTACTGTGAATGTTATTTACAGTATCATTAAAAATAAAACAAAATGTATGAATTAAAAAAAAATATATTACATAAACCAAGTTACAGAAAATCAATTTCATTAATTTTGTAATTTATATCTTATGAATAACATGAAGATAACTGAGATTCCAAACTAAAAATTAATTAAACAAGAGATTTGCTTTCATTTTCTATTAAAATTATTTTTGAAGTATAATATTAAGTACAATAAGACCCCAGTGGCGTGCTGTCATTAGAAGCGGTGGAAGCGCTGCTTCCCTTGTATTTTATAAAAAATAAATACATATTAATTTTAATTATATGAAAATAATCGCACAATATTTTATTATAATTGCATTATGTATCTTATTACAAATTTCTATACTACACATGAAAAAAAAATAAGATTGCTATTGTATATTCGAATATTAGTGGCAAAGTGGAATCTCTGTATTGTCAGATTCCAAAAAGCCAGGTTCGCGCATGCGCTTTACAGAGCACCAACCTCATCCGGTTTAGCCAGTGGAAGCCTACGACCTTGGGTTGATGCTACACATATAACGCTTCCAATTCTATCCAGGACCAGTTCTGGGCTGTTAGCCGCCCGCCCGCTAGATATTTGGCCGATTATGTGAATAACGAGTAAATTTATAACTTAACCCAACCGATAAGAATTTACTGGTATGTTTTTATGATAGTTTTGCATAGTTGATGGGAGTTAAAAAAAATCCATTAAAATATTTGATATATTTATTCCGCTCTCTGATTTCAATGTTAAACCAGTGATATTATGATTTCGTATATCCCATCTTTAATTAAGGGGATGTAGAAAAAAACGTGTACAATTCTTGTATAATGTTAAAAAATTAACTGTTACTTTGACAGTGTCATTTACAACTAAATTTAATAAATGAGAGAGATGCTCGAGGTACAGAAAAAGCTCTAGAATTTATTTTCCTTAAATTTATGATTTATGTATCCGTTGTCATAAAAATTTGTCTTTCCACTTTTTTCCCGAGACTACAAATATATGAGTACAAAGTAACCGGTTTTGACTTATTTCTACTTAAGAAGTAGTTAAATAATTAAGCAATTAGAAAATTGGGGACATAAACAAAACCCTGATGAAAGAGCCGAAATTTTACTTAAACAAAAGCTTAACCGAACAAATCTATAGCCAAGTACAGTGGAGACTGATTTCTTCGTAACATTAGATGTAATAACGACAGAAATTTTTCCAGTTCAATGAGAGTGACTGAAAAGTTGTAAATTTTGGAAATTTCCGTGGACAACACCTGGTCTTAATATGAATTAGTTAAAAAACAAATGACTATTAAGTTTAACATATGTAGATTTTTGCAGCTATGGTGAGAAACGTTTAAAATCTACAACAGCCCTGTTGCATCCTTTGAGATATACTAATGATGCAACAAAAGAGGTATTTGACATTGACCGGTATCGACACACTGGGAATTTGGCAGTCCACGTGTATGCATGCTCCGCAACCGTCTTCGATTCTATCCATTAGCCACTTGTAGGGAGCTATTTGACTAAGTGCATTGTTTTAAGATTTAAAAGATAAAGAATATTTTATATTTTTATGCACGTTTCTTTGCAAAGCTATATTTAATTATAATTTTCTTTAAAAGTATATTCATATAATTAAAGAATATTTTGTATGTACCAGTGTGGCTACAGGCCTGTTTTTATTATTATTATTATTAGTCTGTATAGGTTTATTTCAATTAAAATTCTAGAATTTTCCTTCTTTCCGATTTCTGTGTTCCTTTGTCTCAAACTTCCAAGAACTCACCTCACTCCTAACCCATCAGGGGGTAGCGTTAGAACAAAAGGAGAAAATGAGGCTGGAGGGGAAAAGGAAGAGTTTCTAGAAGCATTCTTAGGCTGGACTCAGAGAGAAACAGACGAGTGGCAGCAGGCTCTTGAACGGAAAGTCAAGGAGTGCTGCAGAAGGAGGCTGTAAGAAGCAAATCGGTAGAAAAATCTAATAGATGATTATAGAGAAAAAAACCCCAAAACGGACCCGAGTTGTTCTAAGAGGAGAACAGACGAGAAAGAGAAGACAAGACAAGGAACTGTGGAAAACCAACTGGAAAATTAAGTACCCTTCTGTCCTTTAATTCTTCTCATTTCCCCTTCTACTTTTTCTATTCTTAGTTTAAGTTAGGTTTAGGTTTACGCATGCAAATAAATTGTCGGGAGGTAGTTATCGAGAAATTAACTACCGGTCTATTGATATACCTGGTCACTCAAGATTGTGGAACCGTTTGAAGGAAAACAGCGGGAATCCGAACCTATTCTGTATATATATTTCATATTTAGCATGAAATTAAATGCGTTTAATTGGTAATACATGTATGAGTTTACCTGTCCGCGTTGAACATTTCACACCAGTACATTCACCACATATTTTATTTCACCAAGTAAGTGTTATTATTTTATTTTTAATTGTAGCCCTTATATCGTGACTAGCAATTCGGAATGTAAATGTGATATTAAAAATGCATTTAGAGAAGTCTACGGTTTTTACTGGCTTATCAAATAAATGATACGAATGGACCCTAGACCATCACTGACGCGCAATTGACTGATTGCCCCTGGATGTCGGCTTGTTACAGAAACACAGCTTCCCTATCATCAAATGTCACGGCACACCCCTATAAGACCCTGCTTAGCACAGGGGATGCGTTCCTAGACAACAAAGCATTAAGTGAAACAGTGTTAAACAAGGTCATTTTAACTTAGAGTAAATAGGGATAGGGGAACGTGCGACCAAAAATAGAAAAATTTTACTTAATTACTTTTAAAAAAAAGTTACTTTTACATTAATTTGTATAATAATATATGTTAAATAACACCTAAACACATGTAAAGAGAAATCTAAAGTTCATTTTTTGTGACGAAGGTCCTAGCTTTTATGAAATTATTGTTTTTTGCAATAAAGTTGTGTAGTTTCATTTGTCGCTTTTTTTCCTTTCCTTAAGCAAATGTCGGTAACAGAAAATCTTATCCAAAATGCCTCATTTTGCTTTCGCACTCCTTTCAAAATCTGGATCGTTCGCTACAATTTGATCGATGATTTCAGTTATCATTACCAAACTTTTACTAAAAAGTAAAAGTTTGTAGCAAGTTCTTTGAATTCTCCATTTTCAGAATCACTATTTTCTACTTTTACATGAATTCCTGGTTTTGCCAGTTATTGAAGGTCATCGTTGGTAAGGCTCTCACCAGAAACCTGCACTAACTCCTCAATATCCTGCTCTTTTACATCTAGTCTTGATTAGGTTGACAATTTGGTCAATCTAATGATACAGTGATAGGCTTTCCTCGTTGAGAATTCTTTGGATACCTCTGGCCATACCTTCTTCCACACTTTGTTCCTGCATTTATCAGTTAATTCTTGCCAAGTGAAGTTGATATTGCCTATGGCATCCATAATGTTATATTTTTTTCAAAACTGCACAACACAAACATATATTTAAGGAAAGTACAGTACTACGATGAATTTCCATATTTTGTGCTGATTGATTCGTGTTCGGGAATAATTGTATTATATATGAATTGATCAAATGCCATGATAATTTGAATAAGCATAAATTTTGAGCTTTTTTTAGGCTTCAAGCAGGCCGTGTAATACCGAATCAGCATTAAGCGAGGCAGCATTAAGCAGGGTCTTACTGTATTCTTATTTTCTAAGTAAAAATACTTAAAAATTAATCTTTCATTAACTTTTTATTCAAAAACAAGTATTAAAAAATGTTAAAATACTTATCAATATGGGTATTTTATTAATTTTTAAAACTTTTGAATTAAAAAAGATAATTAATATAAATATACAAATTTTCTTGTAAACTGTAGTTTACAATCCATATTTCTAAAACATTTATGGTATATTAAGGTGACTCCATATGTTTAGTCATTGCCAAATGGTGAGCATTTGGTGAATACTGAATGTATTTTTGCCAATACCAATTAGTGTGGATGATTTATTTGTGACTTTGCTTGACAAATATTTGGTAATTGCCATTTCCCACTTGTGGCATCAAGGTGTCTGTAATGTCAAACATGTCAATGCAAAATGGTAAAATGTAAATTTGTCTTACCTTGTTGAGCTACTAGGCACCGACCCTGACTACTAGTTTCTATGACATTGTCTTGATAGTAAAACCACAGTAAGACAAAAACCCAGACAATAATTTACTCTTTTATTTTAACTAAGAATGCAATATCTACAGATGAACTGGTAAGTTACTGGACAGAGAATGATGTTGCTAGAGATGATCACCTTGAAAAAATGTTTCCTTGTCTCCATAGAAGAACATATAAGTTAGAGATCACACTGTAATACCCCTCAGCACTACACACTCCTTGTTGGTATAATGTGTCAAATTAAAGAGGGCAAATCAAAGACAAAGATTTGTAATTCTCACAATGCTTGGCAAATAATCATGTGTTTACACACATGCTTGCCATGTGACAGATACTTCAGCAAATACTTTGATGAAAGAAAATTATTCGGCAATGACAAATACCAAGCATGTGAAGCTGCCTTTACATAATTAGAAAACAAATATAAAATCTCTTATAGCCTATGAAATCATGACAAAAACTATTTCAATTGCCTCTATCAAAATTTTGATCTACAAATTTCTGTTTTACATTCATTTCAAATTTAGTTATGGAAATATTAATAAGTCCTTTTTGTAAAAAAATAAACAGAAGTTTTATATATACATAAAAATACTAAAAATGTTGTACACCCAATTATATTCTGATAATACTAAAATTCATGTTAGCAGTGGTTATAATAAAAAATAAAATAACCAATGAAGATAAAACAACCATAAATAAGTACAACTTTCAAAACTTAACACAAGTATACTTATAATGTAAATCAGTTTATCAAACTTTTTTATTTAGATTTATTTAAAAAATAATGGCATATTGAATGTTATTTTTTAAAAAAATATTAGGTCTTGTTGATGAATAAATGATGAATCTTCAACAAATTTCAAATAAAAATATCCTTTTTTCATTTAATACTTTATATATGCCAGGGGTGGCCAACTTTTGTGTACATAAGATCTCCTTTTTATCTTAAAAATGTGTCGTGATCGACTTGTCGTCGTAGGCGTAGTCTAAGTGTGAGGGGGAGGTGTGAAATACATACTACGTTTAGATAGTATGTATTTCACACCTCCCCTTCATAGTTTAGATAGGTAAGAAAAGCCACAATTTAATTTAAAACATGAAGAAAAGGCACTTACATTTTAAACAGAAGAAGAATTGAAACTCAACGTTGTCACTTTCGGGGACCACCACTTCACCCTTCCTCTTTCTACCATGTTCCGACCACTCTCTCTGTCCCTCTTCCCTCCTTTCTTTTTTTTTGGTTTTACGATCCTTTATCTACATTTCTTATTCCCCTTTTACAACTGTATGCAGATGGATTGCACATGGACCAACAAAACCACATCTGAGGGAGGATGCGATGGTCCAATATCACTACAGTTGCGTTTGCGCGTTACATTCGGTTACAAGTGTAACACATTAATCCAAGAGATCGTGAGTGATCAACCAAAATTGGCTTCGCGATTGACTTGTTGGCTACCCTTGATATAAGCAATATGACAAGGCTTTCAGATATTAGATTATGTATTCACTAATATTTGTTTAATGATTTATTGAATTATTCAAATTAATAAAACATTCTTCTACTCAAATTTCTGAAAATTTTTACCTGTCTGCAATAACTCTTGTGCATTCATGTCTCCATAAAATTAACAAATCTCTTTTAGTCAAACATTGTTTTCTTTCTATGTGCAAAATTCCTTCCCAAATACGAGATAAATCCCTCAAATTGAAAACATAATGAAACTTTGCTGGAGTAGGTAGCATTTTTATCTATAAAATAATCAAAATGAA